TATTCCTGTGAATTTAATTTAAAAAAAAGGTGTTTCTAGGTTTCCCGAGAGACTTAAAAATTTATTTGCAAAACACTGTCCCTTTTAAAATTTTAAAAACCCCTTGGAGTTGCGGGGAAAGGGAAAAAAAATAAAACTGTCAGTCGTATGAAAAGGGGCAAAAGATCCCGTCGATTTAAAATCACCGCCATTTCCCCTCTTTTGGGGGCGGCACGGGCCCAAAACCCGGGTTTTTGGAGCCCCCGTGCGGGCGGTGGAGGCAGCAGAAAATGGGAGGCCTTTACGAAAACCTATGAAAAAAAGGGAAACCCAGCGGGTGTGAGGAGACCTCAAAGGGGGAAACAGGGCAGAGTGGGAGCAATGGGAGGCGGTCCGGGGTTCCCATGCCACTTTTGGGGGGACCAAGCGCAGCGTAAAACGAGGCGGTTGGGGGGCCCATGGCAGATTTTGGGGCCCTGGCAGACCATGGGAGGCCTGTAATCTCCCAGAAAACCTTTTGGAAAAAAATGGAAAAAAACAGGGAGTGTGAGGGGGCCCCTAAAAGTGGCCCCTTTGGCAGAGTGGAAGCAATGGGAGGGGGTTTACGGGGGCCCCCTTCAAAAATGTCCCCCGCAATTTTTAAACCAGGCGGTACGGGGGCCCATGGCAGTTTTCCCAGGCCGGGCGCAGCAATGGGAGGCCCATAATCTGAAAAGCACCCTATGAAAAAAAAAAATAAACACACCAGCAGTTTTGTGAGGAGCCCCTGAAAGTGGCACAGGGAAAGAGTGTGGCAAATGGAGACAGCAGCAATGGGAGGCCGTACAGGGCCCCATGAGGGATTTCAAAACCCGGCACAGAGGGAGGAGGGGGTTAAATGGGCCCCATGGAAAGATTGGGGGGCCTGGCAGCACTTTTTATCCCGTAATCGCCAGCCCCCCTTTTGAAAAAAAAGGGAAACCACACCACCCAGTTGGGAGACCTAAAAGGGGCCCCTTGTTTGGGGCTTTGATTAAATGGGGATTTAGTCATTGTGTCAGGAAAAAGGTGATTTGAAATCCGACTAATCCACGCCGGGTTTTTCCTTTTTTCAAAAGTGAGTCTCTCCACCCCTTTGGGTGGACTTCGTGTCCTCCGCGGAGTTTGAAAATCCCCTCCCCGCACTAAAAAAACCCCGGTCCGTTTGCCACGCAACTGGGGGGAAAGGACAGCCTTTAAAGGGAAAATTTCATCTATTTGGGGCCAAAAAGGTTCAAGTTTCTTTCCCCAAAAGTATTTAAAGGGGGTTTGTCTACCTGGGTTGGCGGGGTGTTTTCCCCAAGTAGGCCTAACCCTGTTTTTGGGTCCTGCTCCGGTCCACCTGATGCGGTTTGCTGCTGCTGCGGCGGGTTTTATTATTTTTTCCCTCACTGCCCCGGGTGAAGAAAGCTACTCATAATGACTGCGGGACGGGGGCGTTTCTGCTGGGGACCCTGCCACTGCTCCCCCACCCCCCCCCTCCCCGGGCTCCCAAAGGCAGGGGAAGCGAGCGCACGGGGGCCCACAGTCCCCTGGGGGAATGGACTTGGCGCAAAACAGGCAGAGACCAGTGCCCTTACTTTAGGGGTTTTTTTTGACTTTTTTTTTGGGCCCCTCCCTCTGGGCAGGTGGGGAAAAAGGGGCCACCTTTTTGGGAACGGTAGCGAGGGCCAACAAGGTGGACACCCAAAATCAACCCTCTGAGGTTTTTAAAATTGGGCTTACTCCTTCCTCATCTAACCAGATGCCTCTGCTCTCTCCACTCCCTTCCCGATGAGTGAAAAACCACCCATTTCACTAAATAATTCCTGAGCACCAAATGTCCTCCTCTACCTCCTCCTCTTCTTCCTGTCCTGCCCCCACAGGGGTCATGTGGCGTTGAGATCTGTGCGCCACGTCTAACCGCACCCTGACCAGCCATTATTAAAACAGCATTTGTTCCAGGACGTGCAACAGAGGAATGACGTCGTTCATCCCATAGTCCTGCCGACTCACGAATAGCGTGGCCTCCTCAAAGGGGCCTGAGCAAGCGCAGGTGTCACGCATGAGCTGCCAATGGCTGACATCTAAGTTACACAGGGAGTACCTTTATCCGCTTTTAACATCAGAAATCTGTAATGGCCTTTTGCTGTTCGTAAAGGCGGTCTAACATACGTAGGGTTGAATTCCACCTTGTTGCAACGTCACAGCATGAGGAGTCGGTACGGGGCCCATGGCAGATTACGGGCCTGGCAGCAGCAATGGGAGGCCCGTAATCTGCCAGCACCCTATGTCAAAAAATTCAACACACACCAGCAGTGTGTGAGGAGACCTGAAAGTGGCACATGGCAGAGTGTGGCGATGGAGACAGCAGCAATGGGAGGCCGTACAGGGACCCATGAGAGACTCTGGACCTGGCAGCAGCATGAGGAGGCGGTACAGGGGCCCATGGCAGATTAAGGCCTGCAGCAGCAATGGGATGCCTGTAATCTGCCAGCACCCTATGACAAAATGGAACCCTGGGCTGGGGCAGGGAGAACCGCCGTATCTTTATCACGGTTTTTCCCAGGCCACCGAATGGCGACGCTGCATATGCTGACGCAACGCTGTAGTCCCAACATGGGCCCCCTGGCCACGCTTGACTTTCTGGCCACATAGTCGACATACGGCTACGTTTACTTCCTCGGTGGCTTGACGAAAAATTGCCACACACGACCGCCGAGTAGGAAACTTTGCCCCCGCTACTCCTCACTGGCTGACTGCTACTTCCTCCGTGCACACCGGCACCACTACTGGCCGTAGTGGTAGGCTGCAGTGGAGCTGGTGCTCTACTCCGTGGCCGTTTGCCTCCACTGACACTGCTGCGACCCTTCTGCCTCCTGGCAGCAGCAATGGGAGGCCGTACAGGGACCCATGACACACTCTGGACCTGGCAGCAGCATGAAGAGGTGGTACAGGGCCCATGGCAGATTACGGGCCTGGCAGCAGCAATGGGAGGCCCGTAATCTGCCAGCACCCTATGTCAAAAAATTCAACACACCAGCAGTGTGAGGAGACCTGAAAGTGGCACATGGCAGAGTGTGGCGATGGAGACAGCAGCAATGGGAGGCCCGTACAGGGACCCATGACAGACTCTGGACTTGGCAGCAGCATGAGGAGGCGGTATACAGGGGCCCATGGCAGATTAGGGGCCTGGCAGCAGCTATGGGAGGCCCGTAATCTGCCAGCACCCTATGTCAAAAAATTCAACACAACCAGCAGTGTGAGGAGACCTGAAAGTGGCACATGGCATGAGAGACTGTGGACCTGGCAGCAGCATGAGGAGGCGGTATAGGGGCCCATGGCAGATTAGGGGCCTGGCAGCAGCTATGGGAGGCCCGTAATCTGCCAGCACCCTATGTCAAAAAATTCAACACACCAGCAGTGTGTGAGGAGACCTGAAAGTGGCACATGGCAGAGTGTGGCGATGGAGACAACCCACCGACTGTTTTGCTCGCTGCCAAGCTGCCACCCTCTTCTCCTGATGATGCGGAAGCAATAGCCTGATGACGACGAGGCTGCCAAGTGCGATCAGCCTCATCATCATCAATTAGGGTCTCCGCCTCACTACTAGCCCCCTCGGCTGCGTGTGGGTCAGGAGACAGACCTGTCTCTACACAGGCTACCGAGCCACTCTCCTCGCCACTACTTCTTCGCCTGGCTGCTGAAGAGGCGGATGTCTCCCCCCCGTTCCTGACCGCCCTCTGTTAGCTCTTCCCTCACTGTACTGGATGACACCGGAGCACTAGCCTCTGGCTGCGAATAGTGCTGCCTCGACCCCTTCCTCTGCTGCCACGTCTGCTCGCTCCTAAAACATTGCCTCCTCTGCCACTCCTCTGCATGTTGTCTGACATACTCTTTAATTAAACGATTCTCTGTCCCTGAGTAGCGTTTTCTGTGGGCCCTCAGTAACAGTTCTGTGGCCCTCAGTAACAGTTCTGTGGCCCTCAGTAACAGTTCTGTGGCCCTCAGTAACAGTTTCGTTGGCCCTCAGTAACAGTTCTGTGGCCCTCAGTAACAGTTCTGTGGCCCTCAGTAACAGTTCTGTGGCCCTCAGTAACAGTTCTGTGGCCCTCAGTAACAGTTCTGTGGCCCTCAGTAACAATTCTGTGTCTGTCCCTGAGTAAACAATTCTGTGGCCCTCAAGTAACGGTGGCCCTCTAACAATTCTGTGGCCCTCAGTAACAATTCTGTGGCCCTCAGTAACGGTTCTGTGGCCCTCAGTAACGGTTCTGTGGCCCTCAGTAACGGTTCTCTGTGGCCCTCAGTAACGGTTCTGTGGCCTCAGTAACGGTTCTGTGGCCCTCAGTAACGGTTCTGTGGCCCTCAGTAACGGTTCTGTGCGGTTTCTGTGGCCCCTCAGTAACGATTCTGTGGCCCTCAGTAACGGTTCTGTGGCCCTCAGTAACGGTAACCCTCAGTAACAATTCTGTGGCCCTCAGTAACAATTCTGTGGCCCTGAGTAACAATTCTGTGGCCCTGAGTAACAATTCTGTGTCTGTCCCTGAGTAACAATTCTGTGTCTGTCCTGAGTAACAATTCTGTGTCTGTCCCCTGAGTAACAATTCTGTGGCCCTAAGTAACGGTTCTGTCAGGAATCAAGGAATGACCAGAAAGGTGTGGACTGACACAGGGAAACGCAGGTAATATAATACAGTTTATTATTAGCCACCCAGATATATATCTATATAAACGCACAGTGAACAAACTAACCTTCCACTAATCTTAGGAGGTGCAGGAACACAGGCGTGGTCAGGGCTGGAGAGGTGGAATGGTCAGGCCGGCCGTAGGGTTCTGTAACGACTGCCTGGTGGTACCTCTCTAGCGGTCCTCAGGGCAGGATTCCCCCAGGCGCGGAGTCTAAGTCCCAGTCTGCTATTCACCAGGGCCCCTGATGGTGGGGATGGACTTGGAGCAGACAGGAACCAGGTCGCGGCCCCTGAGTACACCTGCTAGTGATAGAGGGATCCGCCAGAGGTATGTGCAGTACGGCTGGATCCGTGCAGGATGGATGGATGGCAGAGTAGTGAGCGTGGTCAGACGGGCCAAGTCAGCAACGTGCGGGCAGCAAGGTATCAAAGGAGCAGGCAGAGAATGGTCAAGGTCACAAGCCGGGTTTCAGTAACTCACGGACAGCGCAGTACAGAGGATCAGGCAGAAGGATGGTCAGGGATGAGCCAGTAGTCAGAACAGGAGACGGTCAACAGGAATCAGGATCAGGCAGGGTCGGCAACAAGGTATCTTCTCACAGGAACTAGGAACAGGATACAGGGGCTCATGGGAAAACATACACCAAGGCCCAGAGCACAGGCCTGGTCATGCCTTATATACACCTTTCTGTAATCAGCCCCAGGTTTGGCTGATTGTGAGCTTCTGGCTGCTAAAAGCACCCGCTGGTCAGCTCTGGTACTGCAGCCCACACGGCAGGAGAGTCCCACCACCAGTGCTGAGAGCACCCGCTGGTCAGCTCTGGTACTGCAGCCCACACGGCAGGAGAGTCCCACCACCAGTGCTGAGAGCACCCGCTGGTCAGCTCTGGTACTGCAGCCCACACGGCAGGAGAGTCCCACCACCAGTGCTGAATCCATTCCTGACAGAACCCCCCCCCTCAAGGAGCGGCCTCAGGACGCTCCAAACAGTCCTTAGTGGGCAAAATGTTCCACCGCCCGGGTCTCGGTAACTGGCTGAATATCCTACTGCCGGAGTAAACCGGCTGGCTGGGTTTCCTGCTGGTAGACTTCTCTTTGTGTAGGAGAATCAAGGAAGGCAGGTCACTGGGCACAGGATTTCCAGGAGCAGGCAGGGGTATCAGTTATCGGCCAGTTTAACTGGACATCAGGGGCTGGCATGTCGGGCTGTGTAGCGGGCAGAGGCACGTCAGCGGGCACCGAGTCATCTGGCACGACAGCGGGCACAGAGTCACCGGGCACGTCAGCGGGCACAGAGTCACCGGGCACGTCAGCGGGCACAGAGCCTTCTAGCAGAACCCGCGGGTTACCGGGTCACCAAGCTCGACAGCGGGCACCGAGTCAACTGGCACGCGGGCACCGAGTCAACTGGCACGACAGCGGGCCACCGAGTCAACTGGCACGACAGCGGGCACCGAGTCAACTGGCATCGAGTCATCTGGCTCGACAGCGGGCACCGAGTCAACTGGCACTGAGTCAACTGGTACGACAGCGGGCACCGAGTCAACTGGCACCGAGTCAACTGGTATGACAGCGGGCACAGAGTCATCAAGCATCAAGTCATCCGGCTCAACAGCGGGCACTGAGTCATCAAGCATCAAGTCATTCCGGCTCAACAGCGGGCACTGAGTCATCAAGCAATCAAGTCATCCCGGCTCAACAGCGGGCACTGAGTCAACTGGCACCGAGTCAACTGGTACGACAGCGGGCACCAAGTCAACTGGCACCGAATCAGGCATCAAGTCATCTGGCTCGACAGCGGGCACCGAGTCAACTGGCACCGAGTCAACTGGTACGACAGCGGGCACCGAGTCAACTGGCACCGAGTCAACTGGCACGACAGCGGGGCACCGAGTCAACTGGCACGACAGCGGGCACCGATCAACCGGCATCAAGTCATCCAGCTCAACAGCGGGCACTGAGTCAACTGCACCAAGTCAACTGGTACGACAGCAGGCACCAAGTCAACTGGCACCGAATCATCAGGCACCAAGTCATCTGGCTCGACAGCGGGCACCGAGTCAACTGGCACCAAGTCAACTGGTACGACAACGGGCACCGAGTCATCAGGCATCAAGTCATCCGGCTCAACAGCGGGCACTGAGTCAACTGGCACCCGAGTCAACTGGTACGACAGCGGGCACCAAGTCAACTGGCACCGAATCATCAGGCATCAAGTCATCTGGCTCGACAGCGGGCACCGAGTCAACTGGCACCAAGTCAACTGGTACGACAGCGGGCACTGAGTCAACTGGCACCGAGTCAACTGGCAGGATGGTACAGTGAGTGGGAGTAGGGTACCGACATGTGGCAGATTGCTGGGTATATACTGGGCTGTCACTGGGGAGGCTGTCACTGGGGGTGCTGTCGGGAATGCAGGAAAAGAGCTTTGAGCAGAGGAATGATGAGAAGCAGGACTGGTTTGTTGCAAGCTGATTGAGGCTGGGTGTAACAAGTCTGACCACGTCTGCAGTAATGGTTTGACAACGCTCAGCTTACACAAGGCCTGTCTGGCCAAAGAATGCACTGCGTTTATACACTTCTTTAGCACATGTTGTTAATATGCTGAATAATGCTCCAAGAAGCAATCCGGATCATCCTCCAACAACCATAACCAGTGATATTATTTGACTCGCCCTGAATGGAGGAAGAAATTCATCCCTGCTTTCAGGTGTACTAGATGAAGCCACTTCAACACAAGCCTGAATCAATGGTTGCACCTCAGAGAGCTCTAGGACCTGACCTACTAGGGAATGAGCGACCCGTATGCACTCTAGTAGCTGATCCCTGGTATACTCCCGCAAGTCTGATAGGCATATTCCCTGTCATCAAAGACTAGCATAGACAAATATATAACCTCATCAGGATGCATCCTTCACAACAAGTCAAGATGGCTTCCCTGTGCAGCCACTTCTGGTCAGGAAAGGCCTTGGTGTGATGTCAGGAATCAAGGAATGACCAGAAAGGTGTGGACTGACACAGGGAAACGCAGGTAATATAATACAGTTTATTATTAGCCACCCAGATATATATCTATATAAACGCACAGTGAACAAACTAACCTTCCACTAATCTTAGGAGGTGCAGGAACACAGGCGTGGTCAGGGCTGGAGAGGTGGAATGGTCAGGCCGGCCGTAGGGTTCTGTAACGACTGCCTGGTGGTACCTCTAGCGGTCCTCAGGGCAGGATTCCCCAGGGCGCGGAGTCTAAGTCCCAGTCTGCTATTCACCAGGGCCCCTGATGGTGGGGATGGACTTGGAGCAGACAGGAACCAGGTCGTGGCCCCTGAGTACACCTGCTAGTGATAGAGGGATCCGCCAGAGGTATGTGCAGGTACGGCTGGATCCATGCAGGATGGATGGATGGCAGAGTAGTGAGCGTGGTCAGACGGGCCAAGTCAGCAACGTGCGGGCAGCAAGGTATCAAA